CTCCCCGTCCCCAGCGGCCAGGAACGCCCCCCTCCCACCCCGATGGGTTTCGCATAACGATGCTGTACCGTGGACGGAAAAGCGTTGCCACGTGAATTCGTTCAACTAATTACGCTAGCATCTGCGAAGTAACTGCGAAGTAGTTCGATTTTGTTTCCTGCGGGACCATATTTTCGGCAAATAAGAGAAGCAAGCTAGGATGGGTGGAATAAGGGTTCAAAGAGACTATTTTCTCTCCGAAGCAGGGTGTGTAGTGTTTATCCGAGTCGCGGCATCGCACGCAAACTAGCGAAGTTCTTCTAGATAGTTGGCTTGACACAACGCAACATTGCCAACATTGTTCAGATAGGTCCTGGTGCGAATGCCGCGCATGTGAGCTCGCTTGCAAGGCTTCTTTCGCCTCGTCGAAACCCCGCCCTCTTCCATATCTCCCCTCCCCCTCCCAACACCTTGAACACTCCGTGAATATTCCGCATTGTTGCTCCTGTTCAGTTGTGATCATATGAAACGTGTGAACTGGAATAACTTCAGGAATGAATGAGAACGTTCCCGAGAGCTGTTCTTCATTGAGCTTTATTTATTTTGATTAAATATTGCAACAACACATTTGGAGTCAATGTGTTCCCGGGGTGGTTTTAGGTGTCGTAGCTTCTGGATGTGTCCTCCTGTAATGACGCATTTTAGTTGGCGAACTAGACATCTCCACATAATTGGAATTCCACTCGAAATCAGGGCACATCAGTGGTTGGAGATTTCGGTCGAGTCCGTGCGACCCCTCTTTTTTTAGGGGGTTGGTATGACCTCCTAAAAAAGGGGGAAGGGGGTAAATAGACATGCGAAACAGGAAACGTGCGAGGAAAACACGACTCCGCCTATCTACCATTACCTAGAATTTAGGTTTTCCCCAAGATTTCCTACTAGTACTACTTCCGGGATTTCCCGAGAATTCCTGGTCTTTCCCAAAAATTCTTGCTGTCGAGCGGGGGGTATATAGCACACTAGGACGAAATCGGAAAGTCAGCAAAGTCAGCAACCTTTTAGGTCGGAAGGGCAGAGGGGAAATACGACCCCCCCCCTCTCCTAGCGACCAAATACGACCCCCGCGTTGGGAGTCCCCAACAACGATGTGCCCTGCTCGAAAGTTCTCAAATAAGATGCTTGAAATCTTCTTAAATTTCGATTGCCGTTTGCATCGGTTTTACCTGCATCGTAAGGACACTACTGCAGCCGAGGCAGCGTTCAAACTTCGCGATGCCGCGCGTCGACGCGCCACCACTGCAAGGACGCTCCAGTGCTACAGACGCGAGCGCAGCTGCAGGCGGGGATCGATTGGCGCTTGCAGCTTGCGTCTTGGAAGAGTATAGAGTAACAGGAGGGTAGTGGCTGCCTTCACACAGTCTGGCACCCTCCTACACATATTTCCATACTCTGTCAAAGCACTAGACACTAAACACGTCCCTTGATATTACATTGTGTGATTAAACAACGCGTACCCTCCCATTCCTCCAGACCTTATCAAAATACAAGCGCCGGCATCGATTCCCGTCTGCGGCCGCGTTCGCGTCCATAGCGTTGGAGTGCTTTTGTGAACTGTAGCGCTTCGACGCGCTTTATAGCGCATTTGGGCGCATATTCGCGCGTCACAGCGCGTGACGATGCGCCGTAACGCGACGCGACTGACATCTCGTGCCGCGCCAAATTAGCGCCGCGCGATCTGACGATTATCCCATGACGCTACAGCGTTCCAGCATGTCGATGCTCTTGTTGCTTTAAATTTCAACTTTGCATTGATCATAATTAGTAATTCTTCCGGAAAAATCACCTGTAATGAGCGATTCGAGCGAGTTGTGAAAGACCGGAACACATCACAAAGAAATTCACACTGGCCAAATTGTAGTTGACTGGGATGATTACGAAACTGTATCGTGTCCAAATCGCTCCCGTCGCAGCAAGGGCCATATTCTGAACAGGGGTTATAAGGTGATGAACGATTAAGTGGTCCGTCTGAGTCATCACATACATGGCTTCTGTTTACAAACGTAAAAGGCCTAAATTTTTGGTCCCACAATGGCTCTAGTGGATTCGCTGGTGTTAAAGTGAGCATTTCCCTTGTTGCAGTTGTGTCAACAAAAAGGGCGGGGAAATGAAAGAAGGACTTCAAAGTAGTGGACGCAGCGCAGACAGCCGTATCTAGTTGCCTGGGAACGGAAGGTGTTGTGTTTCCCCTGACGAACTTTGTGGAGCTTGATTTTTTTTTCTTTCTGAGCGCGCTAAGATAGTCATCATCCCTGCAAATGATAGGGCGTGTGAAGTGGCGTGGACTGGAGTGCCGCCATTCCACTCCACTGTCACACGGGTGTGGCTCGGCGGCACTTCAATCCGCCTTCCAGCCAATCACTTAGAATGACAACCCGAATCCGCAGGGATCGGCTGCAAGGACTTCCAACTCATGCCCTGTCACATGCCCTATCGCTTGCGAGATAATGACTATACTTCCGACACCACTGCGACTTTCTGCGGTTCCGTAGTTTAGCTTTTGATAGCTCTTCGCCCAAGGTGTCCATCTTCCCTCTCTCAGGGGATTCGGAGAAGGAGTCC